TTAAGAGGCAATTTGCTGTAACAGTTACTCCAAAATAAATAAATAAATATATATATATATATATATATATATATATATATATATATATATATATATATATATATATATATATATATATATATATATATATATATATATATATATATATACACTATATTGCCAAAAGTATTTGCTCACCTGCCTTGACTCACATATGAGCTTAAGTGACATCCCGTTCCTAATCCATAGGGTTCAATATGACGTCGGTCCACCCTTTGCAGCTAGAACAGCTTCAACTCTTCTGGGAAGGCTGTCCACAAGGTTTAGGAGTGTGTTTATGGGAATTTTTGACCATTCTTCCAGAAGCGCATTTGTGAGGTCGCACACTGATGTTGGACTAGAAGGCCTGGCTCTCAGTCTCCGCTCTAATTCATCCCAAAGGTGTTCTATCGGGTTGAGGTCAGGACTCTGTGCAGGCCAGTCAAGTTCATCCACACCAGACTCTGTCATCCATGTCTTTATGGACCTTGCTTTGTGCACTGGTGCACAGTCATGTTGGAAGAGGAAGGGGCCAGCTCCAAACTGTTCCCACAAAGTTGGGAGCATGGAATTGTCCAAAATGTCTTGGTATGCTGAAGCATTCAGAGTTCCTTTCACTGGAACTAAGGGGCCAAGCCCAGCTCCTGAAAAACAACCTCACACCATAATCCAACCGCCAAACCCAGACCCGTCCATCAGATTGCCAGATGGAGAAGCGCGATTCGTCACTCCAGAGAACGCGTCTCCACTGCTCTAGAGTCCAGTGGCGGCGTGCTTTACACCACCGCATCCGACGCTTTGCATTGCACTTGGTGATGTATGGCTTGGATGCAGCTGCTCGACCATGGAAACCCATTCCATGAAGCTCTCTGCGCACTGTTCTTGAGCTAATCTGAAGGCCACATGAAGTTTGGAGGTCTGTAGTGATTGACTCTGCAGAAAGTTGGCGACCTCTTCGCACTATGCGCGTCAGCATCCGCTGACCCCGCTCCTTCAGTTTACGTGGCCTACCACTTCGTGGCTGAGTTGCTGTCGTTCCCAAACACTTCCATTTTCTTATAATACAGCTGACAGTTGACTGTGGAATATTTAGGAGCGAGGAAATTTCACGACTGGATTTGTTGCACAGGTGGCATCCTATCACAGTTCCACGCTGGAATTCACTGAGCTCCTGAGAGCGACCCATTCTTTCACAAATGTTTGTAAAAACAGTCTGCATGCCTAGGTGCTTGAATTTATACACCTGTGGCCATGGAAGTGATTGGAACACCTGATTCCAATAATTTGGATGGGTGAGCAAATACTTTTGGCAATATAGTGTATATATATATATATATATATATATATATATATATATATATATATATATATATATATATATATATATATATATATATATATATATATATATACATATGTTTCTTTTTTTTTTTTTTTACAGCACTAGTGGCTTGTTTATTGTTAAGTGGGCTAACAGGAAAAGGGGGGGGGGGCGGTGCAAGAGAAAGGGGGAGACTTGCAGCAAAGCTCCACAGGCCAGATTCGAACCTGGGTCAGCCACTTCGATGACTAAGGCCTGCATACATGGGTCTTTTGCCCTAACCACTGCCCCACCAAAGCGTGCCCTGCCACCAACTTTTTTAGAGAATTTTTTTAAACTACAATTCTTTTAGTATAGAGGTTTTTATTTATTTAGTTGTTTTGGTTTTCAGCTTTTATTGTAACACATAATCAGAGACACCTACAGACAAAACTGATCGGCTGTTACACAGTTGATCATTTTGATTCATGTTACTGTTGGAGCACCTGTAGTGATGCACTCCAAAGACTTTCAGCTATAATTTCAAAAGAAGCTTAATTGCTTGCTTAATACAATTGCAAACACAACTTCTGCTCTATAATTAAGCTCTAGTTTGTGTTCCAATTTGAGCTTTCAAGTGACATACAGATAATATGAAAAAAGTATTAGCAGGCTATTCACAGTTTTGGTGTTTTTATCATTTTTGTTTTGTCTGTCACCGGAGTGTCACATGAAACCGCTGTTCCTCCCTGTCTTGAAAGCATTTTGTGTTGGAATTGCCTAAAGGGTGTTGAAGCATTGGAACCCGAGTTATAGTGAAGAAAAGTGATTAAATATCAATAAAACCTATATTATGAAAAAATAAAATCAGTGATTGGAACAGAGTGTACTTTGCACTTTAATTTAGTGCCCAGGTCTCCCTCTGTAAAGATGTCTAAGGCTCTAACCAGAATGACACCAGTCACAAATCTAAATAAAACCTGTTTCACAGTAATATAAACAAGGTTATAGTGGCAAAAATAAAATCTTTGTCTGATTTAATGTTTGGATTCTTTTCTGTTGTGCCTGGCTGTGACACAACTAATCCATCCTTTTTGGGAAGGCTGAGGCACAGAGGTATTCCATTTGTTTTGTTGATTTAAACTGCTCATAAAAAGGAGTTCACTTTCATTTAATTTATCTTCAACCATGACAATAGATACCTACATGCAAACTTGCAACAGAAGTAGTTTTGCTTGACAAACTGAAAAACAAGGGAAGGTGTTTTGTGTCTGTGTGAATTAGCTCTGACCTGTAAGAGATCAACATTTTCTGTACTGGGATTTTTGCTAGACTGCTAGGAAGACCTTGGTATACAAATATGTTCCTTCAGCTGTTCCCCTATGCGGGGTCACATACCAAGTCATTAACACTTGCACTCAGGCCAGGCAGAGTTTATACGGATTTGAACTCAGGTCCCTATTGCCAGGGCCAGAAGTCTGCTTATTAAAGATGCACAAAATTGGCCTTTTTTTATCTGCTACCTTGTATTTGTCTCATTTTGTATTTGTCTTGAAACCTGTCTACTCAGATTGTTTTCAATTACGACTAAGCAGCAGGGAAATGTGAGCGTGATCATAATCGCAAGGCGACCCCACCATCAATATGTGAAACAAACACTAGGTAAAAACTGAAGCCCTTCTGCACACTTTATTGTTGTTGGTGGTACGAAGAAGCTGGCAGGATAACTACAGGACTGAGAGAGAATCCATGAAGCAGTATCAGACTGAAGGATATGAGCTATTAAAGTAAACTAATGCTACCTAAATGCTAGCTTGTCTATTGGTTTTATACATAATAAGGTCAGCAATTTAATGTTAGAACTTAGTTACTATAATATTCATGCTATGCTAAATCAACGGCACCACTCAAACTCAACCAACAGTCCTCTGACCAGGGACGGACTTTGGCTTGATCCGAACACCTCTAATCAGTAAGAACTACCAATACAAAGTTTTAATTGGTTAATTGATTTCAATTATATTTATTTTTATGGTGCCAATTCAAAACATATGTCATCTCAAGGCACTTTACAGATGCAATTCAAGCAGATGATATCATTCAGTTACAATGGTTGAAAGGTTTCTATCTAAGGAAAATTGGTTGATAGCAAAGACTCATTGACTCATCAGCAATTCCTCACACTGAGCCTGCAGGCAGGGAGAGTGGAGAGGAAAACTCCCTTTTAACAGCGAGAAATCTCCAGCAGAATCAGGCTTCGGTGTGAGCGGCTATCTGCCAAGGCCTACTGGGGTTCAAGGAGACAGAAGCAAAGATACATAAAGAAGTAAAGATACAAAAGGCAACTGTCAACCAGCTCCACAGGTGGCTCCGTCCGGGAAACACTTAGCCAGGCAGACAAGCCCCGAAACGGCTCCCATGTCAGAGGATAAAAGACAGCACATCTAGTCAGGCACAGTCAGAGAAACAGATCTGACCTGAAAAACAGGCCAAGCTCCAACATCTATAAACAAATGTGTTAAAGGCAGCACAGCTGATATTTTTCTAAGGAATGGGGGTCACAGCCAAACAGACCAAAGGAAGCCAATATGATAAGTAGAAGCAGGGAGGGTTAGGAGAGTGCGAGTCTTTTCCAAACAGTTGTGAAAATCCTCCACTATACCTTTAAGGAGAGCTACTCTTAGTTCATTTTGGTCACTGTACCTCTGGTCACCACTGTATCTGCGTTTTATGCCAGTATTTAGTCCCTATCCATTACCATTGCTGTTGTAATTGTGAAAATGTCCCTTGCAGACAAAAAAAACTCTAGAGAAAGAGAGTTCTCCCTCTCCCATGCTCTAAACGTGCTTGCTCTGTGTTTTTCTTTGGAACTCACTATGTCCCTCATCATCACAAGTCTCCCTAACATTCTGAGGCTGCACAATTGTGTGGCTTTGGAGCCTCAGTACTGAGGCTCATTACTGTTTTCTTCATTCCGTTTTTTGGATGCTACTCATATTATCTTGAAATGTTGCTGTGGTGATGCTGCTGATGCCGAAACTTTACAGATAGTTTGTTACACTCAGCTTTTCTTCATGTTTCCCTTTCTCTTTCTTTTCTTGGAAACGATCAGAGTGGAGGGTGAAACAGTTAATTAGCAGGTGGAAAAAACAAGCAAGAGAAACTGGTGATGATTGCATGAACATACAGCTGTCCCTGCCTTATTTCTCACATTGCATTATCAGCAATACTCTTTAAAACGGTAAATGATTCCAAGCAGTTACTAGAAACAGTACAGTTGCACACAAATGTTGAAAACAGAAAAGTAGGTTCAGCTGTATCAAAAGCTGTTGGCGTTTTTACAATTAATGTGATTTATATTGTGCAGGGCTGAAGCATCATGGTTTTGAATTTTATACTTTTTGAAGAAAACTATAATTCTCTATCAGTATCAGTCTCTAAATACTAGTCTATTACAATAAGGCTCAAAATATTTCAAAAAGGCACAGACAGATTCTCCACAATTCACATTTATTTAAAAGAAACCTACAGGATAAGAGCTTAATCCCTTAGTGAAGTGGTGTTATTTATCAAAACATACGCTGGTTATATATATAAGATTAACCAGATTATCTACTTAGCTAGGGAAATATGTTTTAGTTAATTTAAGACCTTGAAGCACAGATTGCTCTTTGTTTTACAGGGGACAATGTTGGTTTGGCAGACTTCATTGGAGGAACCCTTCAGAACAAACCTGTAATTCCTCCTGTTTTAATCGAGTGTTGTAAGTAGATTCTCGACATTTTTTAGTTTATGCCTTCTTTGTGCATCAAGTCAAATCTAAAAAACATATTGAATTAGTTATTTTTATTGTTTGGAGAAATATTTAAGTACTAGTTTTGACAGTACCGTATATTGTCTACAGGAAATATAGAAACGTGGACAAAAATGTTGGTAACCCTCGTTTAATGAAAAGAGAAACCATCAATGGTGACAGAAATAATTTGACTGACAAAAAGCCTGTTTTATTAGAGTATATCTTAAAAAAAAAATTGTTGAAGCGTGCTTGAAGAGCAACACCTGATTTTCCTTTGTTCGTTTTTATAAAAATGTGTATTTATTATTACTAAACTAATAATAATGATGGGTTTTTCTTTTCTTCCAGAAGGGGTACCAGCAATTTGGTCCATGTGTGCTAAAAAGTCTTACCATTTGGTTTGCATGAAAGGCTAGCTGGGAAACCCGCTAACCTCCAAACCCTACTAGAGTGCAGCCTGAGAAACTATAATTTGAGTAAAATGTTAAAATTCATAATTTATTTGTTAAAATGTTCAATGTTTGGAAAACCTTTGTCTTGATGCAAACAACAGCCAAAAAAGAATGAAATTGTCTGTCTTTTAACCACTTGAACATATGTATATAATCTTGTATATATGTGCTGCCAGACTTGGAGGAGTACCCAGAAATGTGTGACTGCATACAAACAGATGTTGATTGTGTGGAAGTTGACCTCGAGGATGTCCCCCTGGTTTCTCCAAATGTAACATGGCTGTAAGTTCAACTTTACTTCTTTTTTTAAATTTTCATATTCTAAGAAGAATACTTCAGGAAGCAGAATGCTTATGAAAGAAGCAGACATGCTGACATCAAGGTGAAGAGACACATGTTTGCTTTTTATTAACCAAGAGTCATTAGAACTTGTGGCTTTGTTTTGGTTTTTATTGTTAGTTTTTTTTAAGGCCACACTCACACTGAAAACGGTGCAGCTGCCATGCAGCTGCTCTACAGGAGTTCTGCAAAAGTCATTCACACTGAAAACTGCAACAAGGCTGGTTCAGCTGTGGCCCCAGCTGCAGAAACTGTGCTTGGGAGAAAATGAGTCCATGTGGGTTCATGCTCTTTCCAGGAGTTATAGAGCAAAATTTGCTTTCCATAATGAGAAATCTCCCTTTTCGTTGTCCAATAGCCTCTCTTTTTCCTAGTGTTTCTGTTTTTGCCAAAGTTTAGGATGTTAGATGGGGCTTCAGACCAACTTCCTTTGGGACAACACTTCCCTCTGAATCTTATTCAACATTAATTTTACACGCAATTAATTTTGGCACGCCTGTGGCTTCAAACCATCATTTCTGCTGTTCTCCAGCATTTGACTTAAGTGCAGATTAATCCACCTCTGACTTTTAGCAACTTTCAAAGCTTCCAAATTCTGACCAGTTACATCTACAGTATAGTGCATGCACACTAAACACCGACAAGGTGAATGGATTGATTAATTTACATATCATTTGCATATAAAGGGCCGATCCAGAGCGAATTAATGGTTAACAACACAAAGGACACATTTCGACCATTGTAAATTGTGCAAATTGCATAAATAGTGCAAAGCCAGCCTACAAATATAGAAAAGTCAACTTTACTTTCAATTGATGTAGCATTAACCAGTCAGGGACTTGATGTGGTTGTGCTGTAGGGTAAAAAAAGCTGTATGGACAAAAGTCTTTTTCCTTCATAAGATGACATGGTAAAGTGAGATTGGTCAAATTTCACCCTTTGAGCCAATTTTTAGAGAGGTAAAATGCCAAGCAACCAACGGTAGCTGAACAATGCAAAAAAAAAATGTGCCTTGTTTGTCTTCTGTGTGAATACACCTCTGATATCTGACCAGCTAGATCTAGCTGGGATACAGGAGCAGTGTTGTCCTCTTTAGTAGCAAGAGATTAAAAAAAGGTCCCTGATAAGGATGGCTGTCTAGAAATTAACTTTTATTTTTTTTTATATAAATTAATTTGCTGGTTTCCTTAAAAAAACATAGAATATCATGCCAATGTACAATATTTAGCTGTACAGCGTGTGCAAAGTTGGTTTTAAACACAACAAATCTAGTGATAATTTTATAAAACCTTATCTATACGGAAATTCCCTGAACACACACGTGTCAGGAAATATTTCTTAAGATGATTTCACTTTCATGTCAAAGCTACTGTCCCTTCGAGCTCACGTTTCTATGACAGTTCAGGCATCTTTACAAAAACACTTACCAGTTGCAATCAGTGTTCCCCTCTGGGGATGAGAGCAAGTGTGGCAGTTGATAAAATGACATGCATTCTCTGTTATATCACACGTTAACAAGATTAGCAATACAAAGCAAGTAAAGCCTCAGTGTGATAAGCCCCCAGAAGGCATTGCACTGGTGATGTTACATTAACAAGGCCTATAGTGTTTGTGCTTTTTGAAACTTCAAACAATTGTTGCATTGATCACGTTTACGGGCGCTTTTTTAAAGCAGCAAAAAAGCGCCTGCTGCTTCATTTTCTATGCTTGTACACATTAAGCATCTTTGGGGCATCCAGTAAAGTGTGTCCAGATGTGTCTGCTGTTATAAGTGGGGAAAAAGTAGTTTTTATATGTTTTCAATTGAGAAAGTCCACCTCAAAATTTTATCTATGCAGTCAGGTCATCAAGATTTCAATCCTACCTTGAAATATTATTTCATTCTCTGACCAGCACAAATCCCTGTACACTGGTGTTCTATTTCTGGAAATCTCTTTCAACAGCTGCCTCTGTCCCAGTCACCTTTTGGGGGTTTTCCCCTACTGTTAATGGCAGCTAGAAGGAGATTTTAGGTTTTTTTTTGTACGTAATCCAAACTGCACACACCAGAATACTAAAACTGAAAATACTTTGCCTTCAGGTTTAAAAGGTATAGTGCAGGATTTTCACAAATGTTTAAAAAGAATCTCCCTCTCCACTTTATTTTAAAAAATGCCCATGCACAACCCTGTACCCGCTCCAGAGAGGGAACGGCTATTCAAAGTGTGTGACAGCACGCCCAAGCCAAATTCTCCTCGTGCACACTCTGTTTAAATGTTGCTGTTTGCATCGCTCATACAAGCTTACTTTGATTGGCAATTTTTCCACTATGCCAGACTCACCACAGGTAAGTGCAGTGCTTTGTATGTCTCCCTGCCAGCTCCCTGATCAGCTTCTCTGATTGGTTGATGTGGCGCATTGAGCAGCAAAGGGTTAATTTTTTAAACTCTAGTATATGCTGCTGGTGATGTGCGTCAGATGCTTAGGAGCTCATGAGACACTGCTTCGGCTGCCCAGATGTGCTACTCCTGCTGCTGTAAATGTGCTGCAGGACCTTTTGATGCACCTTGATGTGTGTCAACCATTGCCTTTGCATGTAAACCAACTGCTTTTGCTGCTTCCTTTGCATGTGGAATGAACATTAAACATTGTTCTAGGCTGTCGCAATTTGCTGGTAATGCATCCTGTATTCTTTGCATTTTATATTTTTTAACCTCCTTCACACCTTGAAATGTTCCTCTTTCTTTCAACACTTCTGATTGGGAAATTACTTCTGTGTTTACGCATAAGAAGAAGCAGAATATCCTATTCAGTGAAATTCAGAAAATACCAACAATCAGACCAAAGACAAAATGTAAAATCCAGAAATAACGTATAAAACAAGCCAACAAAAAGCACACCTGCATAGAAACCCATAAAGACATGGTACTTTACATTTTAATCTTCCTCTCAAACAAGGACTCTTAAAGGAATAGTACACCCAAAACATGATTAGCCTTCATTTTCTACTCACCCCCATGCTGAACAACACTCTGGAGTACTTTTTTGATATCTCAAATACATCTGGAGATCTGGGAGGCTTCTTGCTGTCTGCTGACATTCAAATAATGGAGGTCCATAGCGCCCGAGGCAGAAAGGTCCATAAAAGTCCACAAAAAACGTGTCAATATTCCTCCATACTGCTCGTCCAATGTATTCCAAGTGTCCTGAGTGTGTAGCGTCCACAATTTACTCGAAACAAAGTCATTTAGAATGTTTTTAGAGCATAAACAGTAGTGTATAGGATTTCCTAAAAGCGGGTTCACGAGTCTACGGAAACCGCGGCAGACCAAACCAGATGAAAGTGCGCATTCAGCGTCTGCTCTGCCGATAATGTAAGCGTAGAAAAAGAAATGTGCTGTTTACCTGTGCAAAGAAAGAAACAACGAAAGAAAAATGTCTGAGGACTTCAGTGGTGAGGAAGATCATGAGTTCTTTGCCGAGCTGAATGCGGCAAAGATATTTGCCGCATATGTGATATGCGGCATGTGATATTTACCAAATGCAGTCTTTATCACTGTTACAGTATGTCCCCTGGCTATTCTAGGTGATGTACAGGACTACCATTCAGTAGATCTATGCAGTGAATGAGAGGGCAAAAAGGCATTTATGGTGTTTTTTTACTGCCATATTTTACCTCTCTTCTATACATCTTGATAATTTTAGGCAGAGCTCTAAAGACACACCTCTAAAAGAAAGAAGAGAGCAACATACCTAATAAAAATGAATATATATTTAGACTTAAAATTAGAATTAACCTACCTAACAAGCACATATATAGGACAAACCATGTTTAAAACAAACGGCAGCGTATCAGAATCTAAAAAGTGTTTTTGCCAAGTAATGTTTTTACATGTATGATGGATTTTCTATCGGGATAAGTTGCTACACAAAGACAAGCATACATTTGATATAGATACAGTATATTTGGAAATGTATTTTAAGAAATGCAGCTTCAAATACATAAACACACAACAATTTTTCGCTCAAGATAGCTGCTATGGCAGCTTTTCTACTTTCACCGCTTCTAGAAGTACTTTGTTATATACGTATTATTAAACCAGTCATTCAGACAAGACATTAACTGTAATTACTTCTAAAAGAAAATGTTTCAATGCTGTTTAAAAACACAGAATGTGTTTTTGTCTTTGTTATGTGCTGTAACTTTACTTATAATATCCTTATTGAGGATGTAAATATTAGACAAAAACCTTACATATCAAAAAGGAACTTTTATGCAGTTTTATGCTAATGTTCTTTTTAACTGTTCAAAGTCACATGCTGGTTTTTATGGTTTACTTTATTGTTTATTGATCAGTTAAACTACCAATCATTGTTTAGAGTGAATTTCATTTTTATGAATAAAATAAAAAAGTAATATTACATAATATTATAATAATTATAACATTTGTGATTAATAGCATAGTATAATCAAATTAAATTGATTCTAATTGTGGATCCTTTTTGTAAATAAACAATCCCCAATGGATAGTAGTTAACATCTGAAAAAAAGCTAGAAAAACATAAATCGGAAGGAATCTTTTCAAGAAATGAATGATGAACTGGCCTACTTTTTATTATACACTTGGTAGTGATCGCTATGAAAGGGCTGCTGTTTCCATTTAGAGCCTCGCTCTAAGTACTGTATGACCCTCCAGGTTACATTTAGAGTAATCTTAAGCACTTCTTCCCACTTACTTTTGAATTTCCTCCTGGGTCTTTTAGAAGGAACAAAGCCAGAGTAACAAGGACCCTCTGCTATGTAAAAGTTTACAGTGTGACATATGTAAATGATATTTATTCGATTGCATGCCACATATACAGTAGGTAATATAAATGCATATCACTGTAATTACCATACCCTACCCCACCATACAAAATGTATCTATAAAGCAATTCAGCCCCAACTACACAAAAATGCTATACACAATCATAAAATACAATTAATAAATGATAAAAACAATAAATAAAGTGGTGTATAAAAGTAGTAATAAAACAAAAAGCAATGATTAAATAATAAAAGACACAGTAAGTCAACATCTCAGACGTGTTAAAAACAAAGAAAAATTAATGGGTATTAAGAAGAAATTTAAAATCATAAAGTGAATAGGACAGTCTAATGGCCAAGGGAAGATCATTTTGCGTTTTGTCTTTGGCACTCTCAGTAACAACTGGTCAGCTGAGCTAAAGCAGCGAGAGGGTGTGTAGGGATAAAGCTGCTCAGACAGGTAGGTTGGGGAGGACAATTAAGAGCTTTAAAAGCAAATAAAAGGATTTTGAAAGGAATCCTGAAATGTAATGGGAGCCAATTTAATGAGGCTAAAATAGGGGAAATGTGGTCAAATTTGCTTGTACCTGTTAAAAAAAGTCCAGCAGCATTCTGCACCCTATGAAGCTGGGAAATGCATGAATTACTGATATTCTCATAAAGTGCCGCAGTTTTAAAGATTATCATTTAAATATTTAAACAACAAATGCGGCCCTTTGTCAGTTACATTACTGTATATACCTCTGACGAAATTGCCTGAAATACTTTTAAGTAATTAAATTAAAATCAGATTGTTGAAAGCTGGGTCGGCAGCATTTTACCAATAATTTCAGGATGCACCCACTGGAATCAGTTATTAGCGTCCCTAAAAGCAGCTGACAAATTTGCACTGTTGCTAAATTAAACAGGCTCTGTGATTTGGAAGCTGATAGCAGATTGAGTCATGGAGTTACTGGTACGCTAGGCCACATTCACAACTTGAGATTAAATCCTGCATTAGAGAACCAACATATGTCTGATCAGGAGCCATATCTGTTCAACCTAACAAATTTTACAGGCTTAGCTCTTGTGTTCAAGAGCAGCTCCGATTGCTGTAAAGCCACGCTTGTGGTTACATCACTCATTCAGTGGTGAATCCGTCCCTCTAAAGTTACAGAGTCAAACTTCTGAGAAGGTCAGCCTGCACAGAGCATCAGCAGTATATACAACAAATACTGTATATAAAAAAAATAGATCATTAATGCCATTTTATATATATCCGATCAAAAGGTATGGTCCAGAACTTCTTTGTTGTGGTGTAAGCTCATGTCTACTTCCCGATTCCTGAGCCGATAATATCAGAATTCCCAGACTGCCAAAACAGAGCACAGCATTTGGCTAAAAAGCAACAGACTTCAAACATGGAAGAGAATGGGACCAGAAATAATGTTAAAAGTACAGAAGAAGCCTCAGTATACTTCCAAAGTATTTGCATAACAACCTACAGAGGTTAAACCGTATTCACTCATGATTCTAAATTTAGCTGCGCTATGTCCTCATCTCTCTTAAGTTGGCAACCTGCACAGCACTATCGGAACAGGTGGTGGATGGAAGGGGAGGTATCTTGTTTGTGTTGTTATGATTTAAGACAATAACTCTCTCTTTTAGTTAAAATTAATGCTTGGGTCAAACTTTATACAGTGTTGCTTTAAGATGACAGAAGAATTAGAGTTCAATTTTACTACAAATAAAGTTAAAAAGTAAAACAAAGTTGGAGAAAAATAGTAGCAAGGAACACAGGCAGCATGGATGCCAGAATATTGCAACTATTTTGAAAAGTCTTTATGGGCTCATGTATATGCAATTGTTTAGGATTTATAAAAATGTGTTTGTGAGTGTAATGAAGCATGCACCTTGTGATGGCACAGTTTGTAGCACTGTCGGTTTGCAGCAAGAAGGTTCTGAGTTTGATATCCAGCTACTCTGGCTTCCTCCCCCAGTCCTAAACTGGACCGTTTGGTTCATTAGTGTCTCTAAATTGCCGTTACGTGTGCGCATGTTCCCTGTGATAGACACTTTCCTTGTTAAAGTTGGCAAAAAACGTATTTCAAAGGTACAAAATTTAAAGAAGCATTTCAAAGTTTTCTAATGATGCTGCCACTTGTGGCTAAAGCACAGAACTGCAGCACTCTTGCTTATTTTCATAGCTCAAACTTCAAATTAACAGGTTTTTTTACTTTTTTAATGTTACCTGGAGTTGCGATAGGTGCCTAAATCGAGCTGGATGCTGGTTGCTACTGTTTATGTGCGTGTATGTGTGTGTGTATCCTGTTTTACCACTAAAGCTCTGCGAACAGATGTCCTAGAGCTAGATGATAGTCCAACAGATTTGCTTTCATAAGCATAAGCCTGTAGCCATAAGGTTCTGCCTGAAACATGTATATGAAATTATTGAAAATTATTTAGGGAGTTTACTTGAAAAATCGAATCTGGTCGCTTGTGAGTATCCACAAAATCCATCCTAAATATAACGCTTCCATTGCTTCCCTGGTTGGATCCTTTTAACATGGACACGCTTGACGTCACATCCGCCAATGAGCTTGGGAACTTTTGACACAAAGTAAATTCTTGGAAAATAGGCTAGAGGCTTAAAGATGCATCAGCTCTAAACTGTTGAGGTGTCTGTCTGCTCATTAAACGATGTTTTAGTTCGAAAGAGTCAAATAAAAAGGCTATTTTTAAGATATTTTTCAGAAAAAACCTAACATAATGTCTCTTTAAGCTAAAAATAAAGTTTGGGAACATAAAAGTAGGCAAAATAAAGAAAAAATAGATATCTATAAAATTAGTTTAAGAATGCAAATTCTTAATGATTTATACATGACTTAAATATTGTAAGATTGATTACAAAAATGGGAGGATGATAGAGTATTTGCTTAAAATTTAGAAATAAATGTTCCGTGCACAGCACTGCTAAACAGATGATACAGTTTTTAACTCAATTAAAATGAAAGATTTTTACTTCTCCTGAATAGATGTGCAAATACTATAATCTAAATATCTTTTTGGCAGGGTGATAACATTTATCCCTTTCGAGTTATGAGTGACATTTTAAGGAAACACATCATCTTTGTTGTCTTCCTGAGACACAATAGAATCTTATCTTCCTTTTTCCACCTATTTTTGATTCGTTAGTGTCGAACATTAGAGCTCTGACAAGATTACTCGTTAAGTTTTAGTATTAACGTTTGATTTGTTTGATACCAAATTGAAAACAAAGGCTATGATACATTTGTTCTTTGGCTGAATGTGCAGTAGCCCAGATTGCTTTACTAATGATACACCAGTTCTGTTAGTCGTGTCTGACTTTTGAACTCAGACATGGGAATGCTGCACTGAAACCTTTCCAAGCTTTCATTATGCAGCCTTTTAATGTGACATTTAAAATCTTCTCTTTTTTTACGCTATCAGGACGGTTGACTTTTTCAAAGAACTGTGAAATATCGTAAAAGACAATAACCTTTTTAGAGGCTTATCATTGCTTTTTGATTCAGTCACTTAAGTTCTAGTTCATCTCTCACCTAATATATTAGTTTATCTTATTTAAATCATTTTTTTTTTCTTGAGGTTTAGTGGAACTGACTGTAAATCACTCAAGAGCCTGTTTTTATTTTCTTTCCTCCAAATAACTGTCACTTTTTAAGGTGTTGTTTGCAGTGTTTTTGTTATTTAGTTGAGTATTTGCATTGATTTGATCAAAGATTATGTTATTGAAATACAGCTACCATTTCAGAATTATATATTTTTCCACTTTCTTAGCGCTAACAGAACGTGTAAATGGGGCATTGATTAAAAAATCACTTTCAGGTTTGTAAATGATTCATCACTTTCCAGGAAAGGTCAGTCTTATTGCTCTCTTTTATACCGTCAGTAATTTACTATTGGTTGAGCTTTCTTTGGCCTTAGTTCATCCAAATGTTCTTCAGAAAATGTCAGCATAACCTTTATGTCATGTCTCTATTTCCCACTTTTAATTTCCTTTATTTAACTACATTTGTGAAAGTTTTAATACTTACTTAAATAGTTTTTTCCTTAATATAAGATCCTCGGATCCTTTAATTTTTCTGATATATGTGTGCGACATTTCCTTTAATAATTAGGACTGCATACATTTTAAAAGTTTAAAAGTGAGCCATTTACTGTCAATAAGTGAATGTATAGTTTTGTGATTTTTATTTTTCTTAATCCTTTTGGGGAAATCAGAGATAAAGGCAATCAGTCTGACATTCTTCCGTACGAATCAATGGTTGGAAGTTTTAGTAGGAATTTTCTGTCACTCAGCTTGAGTCTCTTTTAAGGAGTCTGGCTTTAACCGTTCCTTTGTGTGTTTGAGGCTGTGGAAGATTATTCTCTGAAAGCGAAAATGTTCCTATACTTAATGTATTACATTTTTCAGATGGTAGACTTCTTTAAACTTTAAAGTGCTTCAGTGCTCTGGTTGATGGTTCTTTCCTTCTGTAGATAAAAAATGATTAAAACTGAATAATATTCTGAATAATAATGCAGCACACATTTTTGTGTGATCAAATAAAGCACATATTGCTTCAGACTTTTCACCCTTTCCTCCAACTCACTGTACTGTAAGTCTCTTCATGATTAATGTATTTAGCATTATTCTCACTATGTCTGTCTTATGCTTTTATTTCAGGTCTCTAAAGAGCAACAGGATCAGAGTTCTGTCCGACTTTGTTTTCTCTGAATACACTGCACTAGAGAGACTGTGAGTAAATTAATGCTGCCACTCCCATCCCTTTAATCCTCTCGTTGTTAAAGAGGTCACAGTTCATTTCTGGGCCTATTTCTATAGAAAATTTGATTTACTTAAACTAGGCTGCTTCAAAAAACTTGCAACAATTCTACCATTTATTGAAAGATATTGGATACTTATGTTGTCACTTTAAAAATATTCAGAATTAATAGACTTTACTTTTTATGCATACATAAATATAGAGAAAAGTAATTTGGATTTTGCATTGTTACTTTTGGGATCACAGGCTGAACTATTTTGGAAGACCTTCTGTAAGCGATATTAGCGTTAGCTTCAAAATCATTGGGGATTGCCAATACACACAGCACATTGGTTCCTAAGGCAACACTGTCAAGGACATAACAGCAGAGACTCTAATTTAAAAAGCTGCAGCACCGTCGTTAATAAATAAATCAAACTGAGTATCAAAGACATTTAAGCCAGCAACATTATTGCTCACCGTTTAAAAAAATAAAACAGCTTAGCACCACTGAAACTAAGTTAATTATGGAACAATTGCATAAATGGTTGTGATAAATGGTGAGATAATAGCTAGATCTACAATAAGCAGAATCAGTCTCTGATGAGATCTAAGGTTGTTCTTTTACAACTGTGTCTGTTACATGGGAAAAAACACAAAAGGTCTTCGTTTGGAATAAGTTTTAAAACATTAAACCTTACATGTGTATATATAAAAAAAAAAATTTATATTGCCGAGTGTCCATAAAGTAGCTCTCTGGTTAAAATAGTTTTTTGGCGTTTTAAGAGTGAGGCAAGATCCAAATGAATATGGGGGCCAGTTTGTCTCCAAGGGGATGGAGAGACATTGTCAGGTCTTGAAACCTCTCTGGATTAAATAAAAAATTGTTGTTTTTTTTCTTCCCTGCTGGTAGCGCCTTTCTTGATCCTACACAGCTTCATCAGATGTAAAGTGATCCATGGGTTGATCAGTTCCCTACAAGCCTGATTTTGGAAATGACAGTTTGATCGCATACATTGGCTGAATCTTTAAAAACGCATGTAACGGGTCTTCTTTTTTATCAATCCATTCCTTAACAATCTGAGACAAAGAGGTTTTTCGTTTATCTCTGTAGCTGGGAATGAATTGATGACAGTGATTAGAGGCCGGTCCAATATTTATTTATGTTCTGAGATCTGTTTTGAAAGAGACCACAGAACACTAGCAGAAAGAAGAATCTAAATACTAAAATACACAAAATAAAAGTTACTAAGGCTGTCATCTGTGGCCATGTTTGATAACCTTCATAGTTTTCTGAGACCCTGAAATACAAAAAAAACAAAGCTTTGCAAGATAAAAAGGATCCTAGAGGTCAACTACCCATAACAACCCATAACAGAAATGTGTAGGGAGAATATTGTTCCATGGAAATTTGAAAAACAGCTACCCAGAAATGAAACTTAAAAAAAAAGTTTTTCAGAAGAACTTATATATGCTTTTTTCCCCAGATTTATATTCTTTGAGTTGTTGTTTTTTTTTTACTTATTGTTTCATTTTTTTTATTTTAGTTATTCAAACATTATTTTATCTATGTATTTATTTTTTCAACATATTTTGTATTTTTGAAATTCACTCAAAATATTGGGATCAACACACATTTACTGGAAATTTAAACAAAGTTTGAGTGCTTTCAAGACATTACATTATCTTACATCTAAACATCATTGTACAAATAATCTGTAATGACTGCATTCTTGGTCTGATTTTGGTGAGTTCTGCACTTTTGTTGAGTACTAGTTTGGTTGCATTGTGAACTTTTTCTTCTACTAATTGAAGCCTCTTACATGGCGAAATTTAAATGTTGTTCTGCAAAATAAAAGCAGATGTTACAACTTTCACTTAATTGGTGTGTAGATGATTTATAGAGGCTGTAGTTCAGCTTTTAGTTTGTAAATCTCTATTTTAAGCAGCCATGTTCATGCAGGCAGTGGTGACCAGCAGTGTCCTACTTAGCTTTGACAGACATAATTTACCTAAACCACTCCGTACTCTCCGTTAATGGGAAACATGCACAACAAACAGCCAAGGGGAAACTGAGGGTTCAGGACAATTACTTTCCAAATGGTTATGGTTTTGGGTTACATTGCAGAAACATGCTTTTAGGGACTATTTCTACAAGCTATTTTAATAAAAAGGCAATAAATAATACGAATGCCTATACCCGCTTAGTTAAATTTTTAAATCTAGTTTTCATTTTTAATTTATGTTTCATTTAAAAAGTTAATTTTTCATTATAAAATAAAAGTAATTTATGTTTTACAATTGTAACATAATTGGGATAGACTAAACAAAAATCAGGAAAGAGATATACAGTCACAAGTAGATTTATTTCAGCAAGTTAGTGAAATATAACATGGTATGATGCACTTACTGTAGATTATACTGACTAATGTTTTCTATACTTTATATCAGTTATTTTGGACTTGTATGTCATTAATTTTCGGACAAAATAAATGACAGCAGATCAATTACAGATATATTTTTAATACTGAAATTTAGGCCTAAAAGAGCATGGTGCAAGTTTTCTCAGAACTATGCTCCTCTTGTGTGTTAGACCAGCCTTTTGCATGTGCATGAGAGAAAAGCAAAAGTATCACAGTCTTCCACTGCAACAAGTATTTAGGTAATAGGCATAAAAATATTCTCAGCTAAGAAAGTTGTTAACATTGAAGAGGGTCAAGTAGGGATTCGTTATTGTTACCAGGGCATATCTGACTCCCTCTATTTGCTGGAGTAAACTTAAAAATGTAGTTCTTTTTCATAATATTCACTCGGTGTCTCGCTATGGGATGCAGCCTCCTGCAGCCCTGATAGAAGCATTTATCTCAATCTGCCAATCCTGATTGGCCGGTGAAAGTGCCCGTCTTACGCCACGCCCCGTAGCTCCGACTACTAAAGCGTGTGCGGATCACGGCACTCCAATTCAAAACCTCTTCTCACCTGAGAGCTTATCTCACGTCGGAGCCTTCTTGCTAGCTTAACTGCCCACAGACGGACCTTGCTAGTTTCCGTCGCCGGACGCTAGCACTGTGCTCTGGCTTCTGCCTTGTCCGCTCACTCCAGACCGGACCGGTATTCTTTTCCATTCTCTTCACGGCGGAATCCCTCTTGGCTCCCCTCCGCGGATGCTCGAGTAGGACGAGCATTTAGCACACCAGCTACTTTCTCGACCCCGCCACGCTAGCACGCCAGCTAGCTACGGTTCCTTTCCCTACCAGCACTCCAGTTCGTCGGAAAATGGCAACCGTCAAAAACCCCCACGCCAGGGGAGACTACCGTCTTTGTGGCTGCGGGAATAAAATTTCAGGGAAGCATCCATTCCTCCCCACCGCCGCCCAAGGTGCAGCCGCGGAGGAGGACGTGGACACAGCTGGGGAAGCTCCGGAGACTGACTACGACTGGGGTGCCCAGTGCGAGCAGCTCCATGCCCCCCCGTTTCCCGAGGAAGACGTGCTGGAAGTCAGCCCCATGAAGGAAGATGACGACACCTCGTTCCTCATATCAGAGGACGAGGAAGAGGATGACACCTTCATGGCCCCAGCGCAGCCTGAGAAGCCGAAACCGCCGAGCCCTTCCACCAAGGAAGACAGGGGAGCGAGCTCACCAGCTCCCTCCCTCCATGTGGACCTGCCCGATGTGTGCAGACGCGTGCCAGAGAAGCTGGAGATCCCCTGGCCGGTCGCAATAGCGGAGCCCACCCGGTCCCGCTACGAAGGCAAACGGCTTCCCCTGGCACGAAATGCGGTGAAGCAGCTTCTTCCTGTCTTCCCCGAGTTGCTGACTGAGCTCTCCAAAACATGGACTAACTGCCCATACAGCAACAGGAGCCCTATTTCGGGCGCAGCATCCCTCGATTGCGAGGCGATGGACGCCCACGCCCTCCTCTCCATGCCTCCGGTGGAAGTCCCGGTGGCTGCGCACCTCTGCCCAGGCAGCGCGAGCCAGCTGTCTGCGGCTTCCCCCAGGCGCCCGACGCTGCCAGCTAAGCCCGATCGGTTTCAGTCTGTGCTGACCGAAAGGGCACACAAAGCAGCAGCCCTCTCGGCCAGAGCCCTCAGCGCCCTATCCATCCTCACTGCCTACCATGCGGAATTGTTTGGCGCGTCCGCTGAGGAGCAAGATCCGGACGCGTGGGAGGAGATGGCGGTCATTGCAGATTTGTCTCTCCATATCCAACGTGTCTCGGTCCAGGCCATGGGGAAGGTGATGGCAACCCTCGTCGTCCAGGAGCGAGCGCGATGGTTCAGTCTTGCTAACCTGACCGACAGGGAGCGGGATGACATCCTGGATATGCTGATCGTCCCTGAAGGCATCTTCGGCTCTGCATTGGCCACAATACAGCAAAGATGCGAGGCAAAGAAAAAGGACAACGAGGCCCTCAAACTTTGTCTCCCTCGCAAAGCCCCAGCGCCTTCACCTCCAGTGCAGCGCAAAACCTTTGCGCAAGCAGCCTCCCAGCCGCCGCGTTTTAAAATACCGAGACGGCCAACACCGCCAGGTCTGCCCCGTCCGACGAGGAAGGAGCGCGGAGCCGGCTGGCAGGGAAAACCTGCCTCCCCGACCGCTGCGCGATCCCACAGGCGAGGAAGGCGAGGAAGAAAAAGAGAGCGGCCTGACAGCCGCCAGTTCCTCAGTTGGTGCAGCCTGCTGTTCCCCGTTGCGCAGGCCCACCGTTTTGGCTTTTTTGTGCGCGAACCTCGCCACCGTTGCCCATCCCAGAGCCGGTCCGCGAGGAGAGGGACATCGCCCCGGAGGTTTGCGCGGTTGCGCCCCGAGCGGAATGTCCACAAGCACAGTCACACACACTTATTCAAAGAATAAATGGTGTCAAAATAAATATAATAAATCTGTCACAGCCAGGCCACGAGCCGAGGGTGCAGATAATAAAAAAAGCCAAAACAGACAATGCTCTCTCCATAAGCAGGGTGGCCGCTCAGCCCCCTGCAGCTCTGCT